TCGCTCTTTCTGCTTGGTGCTTGAACTTGAAAATGTGAGAGCTCAGCTCGCTGCCCCAGTTTGCCATGTCTGCTGCCTGCTGCCGTGTTGTTCCAGCCATCATGGACTCTAACCCGATTGGACAACAAGCACAAACAAACTTCCATGAAGTGCCTTGGTCATGGTGCCTCGTCACAGCACAAAAAAGGCACTAATGCACCTTGCCTCATAAAAGGAGGAAGAGGTAGGAGGGAGGGAGAGAGGGAAGGAGAGAGAGAGGGAAAGAAGGAAGGAGGAAAGAGAGAAAGAAGCAAATATCTTTTTAATAAAGGTTAAAAGAAGCCAGGTACGATGGCTCGCACCTGTAATCCCAGCACTCAGGGAGGCAGAGGCAGGTGGAGCTACAAAGCAAGTCCAGGGAGCCAAGGTTACACAGAGAAACCCTGCCTCAAACTAATGAATGAATGAATGAATGAATGAATGAATGAATGAATGAATAGATAAATAAATGAATGAAAGGTTAAGAGGGTGTACACCAAATTGTTAAATGGTGGTTATATCTGCAATTACCAAGGGAGTAGGTAGGAGAGTAATAACAAAAAGTAGAATTAAACCTCTTTTCTACACAACATATTTAAAAAAAAAAAAAAAACTGTATTAGTTAATTTTTTTTTTTTTTAATTACTGGCTGTTGAAGTTAGAACCTCATGCATCAGAATCAAGCACTCCTCCACTGAGCTACAGCCTCAGCCCTTCATTAATGACCTGTGTTTCAAAAAGTCAAAGCTGGGCATGGTGGAACACACCTTTAATCCTAGCACTCAGTAGGCAGAGGCAAGCAAATCTCCGTGAGTTTGAGGCCAACCGAGTCCACATAGTAAAGTCCAAAGTTACGTAATGAGACCCTAATCTTAAAAAAATAAAAAATAAAAAATAAAAAATCAAAGTGAATGATTTGTATGTCACAATTCATGGAGTGATCAAAAAACAGCTCTTTGTCTTTCAGAATCCATTTAAAATCTATGCAGTTCATCCCCCTTTCCACACTACCTTCCTCAAAGCACAGCCCGAGACTCTGATGCCAGCGTCGCTGGCATCAGCCGGAGCTTGTTAGTTGTGTGGACTCTCAGCCCCACCCAGACCCTCTGAGTCACAACCTCTCAAGCCACAGTGACACACGTGAGAGGCCTGCTTTTGTCAGTCATGGACAACCCCGAAGTGAGCTTAGGCCATAGTCACAGTCTCAATACATAGACCAGAATCCCAGTCATAGGCAGTGATCAAGAGGTAACCCTTATTCACTGGTAAGCCTCTGTCCTCTTATCCAGGGAAGGAGCTGTCTCCAGGAAACGTTGAGGTCCTGTCTTTCCACCCACCCCCCACACACACACCTCCATCTTTCCTCTTCCTGCTTGCATCTGTTCCTACTTCCTTCACTTTTTACCTTGGCCAAAGGAGGAGGGAAGAAGGTAAAGAGGAGAATGGGTAGGCCTAGCAAATAGGATGGGTGACTTCCTGCTTCTGAGCTTGGCACACGGCAAACACCAACTCTTCTTAGGGACACTCGTGGATGTTTTGGCAATTTTTACTGCTGATAAATACTTTCTTACTGGCTTAAGGATGCATCTGTCTTCCAGATGCTTGCTTGCACATTTCCCACAGCGCCTAAGAATCAACATGTAAATCCAGGTCTTTGGTGCCTTTTTCTGCCCCTCCTGGGGGCTTATTGCAAAAGAAACAAGACATACATCTCTCTCTCTACAGTGATCACAGAGCTCCAGGATGTTCTGTCCTATGCGCTGATTCCCAAAGAAGCTTTTCTAACCCATAGCCATTGCTTACTTTAGCTTTCTTGAGCCTAGATCAGGTCTGCTTCCTGGGTTCTTTTTCATTAGGATTTGAGGAGGAGATAGCCCATTTCCCATACTTCTGTGTGAGGAAGAAATTGTGGCAAAAAAAAAAAAATCTCTTCACAAATCTTCTCTCCTTCCATATCCCACTCCTGCTCTGTGTCCTTGTGATTGCGACCATTTCCTCTCTAGAATCTGCAAATGATGAGCTAGCTTCAGTGAAATATCACTGTTTACATCCCGTCACAAGTGTGGTTGCTTAATTGTAAGAACTAAAAATAACATTTTGCCCTCGTGTTTTATTCATCGCAGACTCACCCATCTGAAGAACTGTCGCCAACTGTGGGTCTCATATCATCAGTCCAACACAGACCGGGGCGTTAGGGAAGGGCAGGATGAAGACAAGATTCTAAGTTAGAAACAGCTGAAACTCTTGACAAGCAGTTGGAGGAGGGGAAGGAAGCCTTTCTTTGAAGAAACTTATGAGCCTAAGCACTGTTGTATCTGGTGTTTCTTTGAAATTGTCCCTTCCCTTTGAGCCCTTCTGAAGGATACGGAGGCATTCATTGCCCTAACTGACTCTTATTTTCATCTCTCGCTGAGTAATTTCTCCTGCCAAGCTTGTTTCAAATTCCAGAAACAGACAAGGCTTGTAGGCAAATTCCTTATGACAAGAACGGACAGCCATGATAAGCAGGCTGGGTGATGTATGCATGTAATCCCAGCACCAAGAAGGCGGGGACAAGAGGGTCAGGGATTTGGAGGGAAGCCTGGGCATTATACTGAGTACCAGGCCCTTTGGGTTACAAAGAGAGACACTGTCTCAAACCAAACCAAAAACAAACAAAAAAGTTTGTGTGTGTGTGTCCCAGAGGTGTTAAGACATTCACTGCAGCACAATTTAAAAGAGCAAAAGCTTAGAAACAGTCTAACAGTTGACCTATAGGGACTGACAGAAGTTTCTCCATGATTTCTGGAACACCATCCCTTCTTGGGCTCCTAAGTACTGAAGCATCCCCTGCCTGAACACTCCTGATAATTAAAGGACATATTTCTTTGTCTGATCCAGTAAAGTTGCTATTATTGTCCTCATTTTGCGAATGGAGAAACTCAGAAGCTCAGGCCTGCATAGCCCTCCCAGAGGATTCAGCAAAAGTCAAAGGCCTAGTCTAGCGGCATGAAAGATGGCAATGTGTTAGGGAAGGAACAAGGACTCAGTGTGGCTGAGAGTAGGTTGGAAGCTTCAAGCTTGCACTTTAACCTAAAAGATCTAGTTCAAACTCTCTCTCTCTCCTCTCACACACAAAGTAATGTAGAATATGATGAAGAATAATGGATTTCCATAAAGATGAGAAGCACCGAGGAAGGACAGACACACAAAGTCTGAGATGATATGACGGAATCCTTTTTGCCATCTAATTGAACACATTTGGGCTCCATGCCCACGACTATCTGATATGGGAAGTGGCAGATTTAGAGCTTGAGTCCTGAATTTAAGATGCAGAAGTGATCAGAGGGCCGAAGAGAAAGCAGCTTCCTCCCCAGGTATCAGCAGCAACCTGTGACCACTGTGTTCAGACTCCATGATGCCCTGGGAGAGCTGGCCTCTGTGTCCTGGAATGTGTGGTAGAAAGGAAAAGGAAACAGAAGTTGATGAGGCCGAGGCTGTATTTCCTTGGTGCAGGCACTTCTGAGAGATCATAACAGACACCAAAGGGAGTGATCTTCCTCCTTCCCTCCCATGTGAGTTTGGGGAGAGGACATGGCATACATTTTCCTCTTCCACACAGCGTAAGATGGGCTGTGATTAATTTAAAATTTGCCAAAATGTTCTCCATCCTCCTTACTGTCTCCCTCCATCACTAACTCTAAATGAGGCAGATGGCAAGACGGGAATATGAATGTTGAAGTTGCCAACAAAGTATACTGACGGAAAAGCTGGCACATTGGCCTCTGACCACCTCATTTACTGTGTGTGTGTGTGTGTGTGTTGTTGTTTTTTCTTTCTGTTTTGTTTTTGAAATCAGTCTCACTATGTAGAACAGGCTGGCCTTGAACTCTCAGAGATCTGCCTGCTTCTGCCTCACTGGGATTGAAAGCATGCACCCCCATGCCCAGAACATTAAAAATGTATATCCTCCTCTTCCTCCTCATCTTATTATTATATGGCCTGGATATTTTGATTACTAAGCTTCTTGGCACTGATGGTAGCTGCTTCCTGTCTAGATCAGGGATGGTAAACATCTTAAGAGTAACAAAGTCAGGAGGACTCTGGAAAGGCTTCCCTGAAGGAGCCTGCATTGGAAAAGTTGGAAAATGGAGTCTCAGTGACACTTGTAATCAGGTAACTAATCCAGGGATTTGAACACTCCTTAGAATTAGGCAAGTGTCCTCTGACTTCCACAAGGGAACTGCAGTGAGTACGCTTGGGCAAAGTACACACACACTAATAACAATGTAAAAGCATATCAGTTGTGGCTAATTGCTCAGAGGGAAATGGGAACTCCCATGTTACTGAAGCAGATTGAAGGATGGGAGGGTGGAGCTGCTGCTGGTTCTCAGCCTTTCCTGTGAAGCTTAAGTGAGGAGGCTGGCGATCCTGAACAGAGTAAGGCTATTTCCAATAAGGTTCGTGCTGCAGATGCTCAGCTGCTTCAGAGGGGCTCTGTCTGGCTAAATGGGGGCCAAGGGTGTCTCTGGGTGAGTATGGCACAGGGTCCCTGCTTCCTAAAGCCAGAAACGAGAAGCCCACAGGAAGATTGTTCCCTAGGTTGAAATCGTACTTGGGATTTTGAAGATATGGACTCATTAGTTAATAGGATTTTGAAAGCCGTTTTAATATGAGATTAAATTCATTATGATTAATTACAACTTGATCCTAAAATGTTCTAAAGTGCTCATTAAACTCAATTTCAATTACCAAAAAAAAAACCCCAAACAAACAACAAAAAAAAAAACCCCACATCTACACTGGAAAAGTAGACAACAGCTGTCTGCTTCTACTGGGTTACAGAAGAAGGAACACAGGAGAGAGGATGTTTGATCTCAGAAACAATTGTGCAAGGTCAAAGTCGCCTACAGGCTGTCTAGTAAAGTGGAAACCCACAGCACCACACTTCAGGGTCTTTGCTTAAATAAGTAATAAAACCAACAGCACTGCAACACGAGGGGATACTGACAGATGGGTCTCTGATTTGCTAGAGTTAGAGCAGGAGAGGTCCGGGAGGAACCCAGCCTGGAGAGAAGACGCTAGCTGTCCGCTCGGCCCTCCACCACAGTGGTCTCTGGGGTTCCGGGGCTCAGAGTAACGTGAGAACTGGGTGTCTCGGGGGTCTCTGTAAACTTGCGGAAGGTCTGTGGGTCCTTGAACCCCAGGACCACGCGGCTCAGAAGGCCCCTGAGCTGCTGCATCTCGCGAAGCAGGAGGTCCACCTTGGGCTGCAGAGCCGCCTCGCGCGACTGTTCCGCGGATGTGGGCAGAGGCGCGCAGGCCTGTGGCCCGACAGTGGCGACGTGGCCCGCGGGGAACTGCAGCCCCGAGAGGGTGCTGTTCGGGACGGAAGTGATGGACGGCACGGATCTGGACACCGGGGTCTTCCGGAAGGAAAGCGGCTGGTCCCCGGGCGCCAAGGCTGCAGCCTGGGGGGCTGGCGCGGGGGTGGGGGCCAGATCCGGGACAGAGCCTGCAACCCAACACGCCTGGTCACCCGCGACTTCCCCTAGCGGGAGCTGGCGGAGGACGGAGGGGAGGACGGGGGGGGGGGGGGGGGGGGGCGCGGGGCCGGGGGGGGACAGGGGGCAGCGGGGAGGAGCCGCCACTCACCCCGCCCGGGGAGCTGCAGCCACGGGCTGCGTTTCCGGACGCTGCGGGCGGCGGTGGCCGCCTCGCACCAATACGATTCGAGTTCCGCGGCCTCGGGCTCGGGGACGGTGTAGTCGGAGCCCCAGTCGAAGCGGCGCACCGGCCGGCTGTACTTGTAGAAGGCGAACTGCAGCGGCGTGTCCCGCTTCTGCGGGTGCAGGCGCGTCTCGCAGCGCAGCACCACGCGGCCGCGCGCCTCCTGCGGGCTCAGCGTCCGCAGCACCGGCGTCTGGAACAGCTCTGCGGGGAGGGAGGCCCGCAGGCCGGGGAGGGGGGCTCGCTGAGCCCGCGCGGGGGAGGGCGCTCCCCACCAACCATTCCGTGGACCTGCCCCCCCCCCTCCTTCCCCTCCTCCTCCCCCTCCTCCTCCCCTTCTCCTCCTCCATCCCCTCTTCCTCCTCCTCCTCCTCCTCCTCCCCTCCTCCTCCTTCCCTCCTCCTCCTCCTCCCCTCCTCCTCCTCTTCCTCCCCCCCTCCCCTCCCCCTCCTCGTCCTCTTCCTCCTCCTCCTCCTCCTCCTCGAGGGGAAAGAAAAAGTGTGGGCGGGGAGGGGCTGGCCAAGGGAGGGAGGGGAGGATGGAGCCAGTTTGAAGACGGGAAGAATCCTGACAAGTGCTACAGGTTACGTCCTAGCCGGGTTGTCTAGCCTTGAAGGGGACAGCTGCCTCCCCACTTCGTAGTGGCGCAGCGCACCCTCCAAACAGGGCATGACCTCACCGCTCCCAAGCGGGATTCCTAACTAGAGACCCGGATTGCCTGTCATAGGGAAGGGACAGCGGCCTACAAAAGCAGGCTGCAGGGTCGAGCTTCCTCTTTCCCCTTCCGATCCCGGCCCTAGAACTTCCCAGCCGTCGTGTGTCTCTCCCACCTTGCACGGTCACAGCCACCTTGGAGGAGAACATGGGCGCGCTCTCCACCGGGATGCGCATGGTGCCTGAGCACTGGTAGTGGCCGCTGTCGCTGGCTCGCGCCTGCAGCACCGTGTAGTTGGTGCTGGAGTGGAAGTACCTCACAGCCTGGCCGTCGTGGTAGTAGTGGAGCTTGTAGACGACTTTGTCGTACCAGCCGCGGCAGCGCATCACCAGGGGCTCGCCCTCGAACACCGGGGCATAGGGCACTTGCAGAATTAGCCAGTCTGCAACAGACCAACCCCCCCCACACACACACACATCGTTTACTGGGCAGAAAACCCAGCTCTGCTGGCGCACGCCTTTAACCCCAGCAATGGGGAAGCAGAGGCAGGAGGATCTCGGTGAATTCCAGGCCGGCCTGGATGGAATACGAAGCGAGTTCCAGGACAGCCAGGGCAGTTGCACAGAGAAACCTAATCTCAAACAACAACAACAAAAAAACCCCAAACCAAACCAAGAAAACCCTGCTCCTACTCAGACTCCCTATAGGACCCCCACCATTCCACCCCACCCCACCCCGTCCAACACCCACGACTGTTTGGACTCCCCTGGCCACCAAAGTCCTTTCCTATTTATTTCCTGGTTTGGCGAGTAGCACCTGGGAGCCTCACAGAAAACTGAACGGGAGGAAGGAAAATAGCACCAGGGAGGCAAAGAATGCCTCAGATTTGATGCCAGCCTCAAAGAGCCCCCTTGTCAAAATCAACCTATGACCTCAAGGCTTTCCTGACCTCGCCCCTCATAACCCCTCCCACCTTTCATTCAACACAGGCTAGGCCTAGCCACACTGAGGTGTTCAGAAAACTGGCCCTTTATAGAGCCCAGAGCCCTTGTGAAGCTATTTTCCGGACCCAAAAGGCCCTGCTTCTCGGCTTAAATCGAGGCCTACTTGCTCTGTGTGCCTGTATGCAGGCTTTATCTGCTGAAGGAAACTTCTCTGAGAACAGCCTAGGTGTCCCCTGTAGGTCCCCAGTCACCACCACCATCACCACCACAGTCATTATCATCATGGCACTTACTATCCTTAGCACAGCCTAGATGTCATTTTAGGTATTATAAATTTTTAAAATATTCATTCATTCAGGCATTCATTCATTCATTCATTCATTCGGAATTAGGTGTATAGGCCAGTGTCTTTGTGGGTATGTCCTAGTGAGAAGAGGTGCGGGTGTCCGAGGAGACCAGCAGGAGACCTCACATTCTCTGGAACTGTGGTTCCAGGTGGTTATGGCCTGATGTGAGTGCCGAGAACCCAGCTCCAGGTATGTCCAAGAGCGTTATTCATTCTTAACCTCGGAGCTCTCTCTCCAGCCTCTGTTTTAGGTATATTACACACCAAAAACAGAATCCTGCCGGCCAGGTATGCTGATGCACACCTGTAACCCAGTACTTGGAAAGATGGGGCGGGAGGATTGAAAGTCAAGGCGTGCCTGGGCTGGATATGGACACCCTGTCTCCACAAAACTTTGCGAGGCCTAGTCACAGTTTCTGTGCTACTGTCACTCTGTTGGCTACAGCCATTGTCTGCGGGCACCCCTGTTTCCACCTTAATAATCTCAAACAGGAGACCTCCAGAAGCGTTAAACGCTGATTTAAACATTGCCCGGTGTTCTTTAAATGCTTAATAAAAATGACCATCTGCCCAGGTAAGCTCATTAATCTTCCGCATGAAGCAGCTAATTGTGTATTGAGTAAGTCATTATTGCTTTTCCTACTCCCGCTGTTTTGTTTGGTGGTGGTTTTGTTAGTCAGTTAATTTGTTTGGGTGCTCGTGGGCCCATGCCAACAATGAAAGCTTTACTAAAGTCTTTGTCCAACCACTCTACCTGCCTTTTAATTTCCTTTTCCTCCTTCTCTTCCCCTGCCCCATCCTTTTCTCCCTTGTTTCATTCTTAATAGAAAGGCCTCGCACTTGAGTTAATTCTGCTACCTCAGCCTCCTAAGTACAACCCGGAGATTACAGGTGTATACCACTATGCCCGGCTACTTGAAATTTTTTTTTAAAGTAATTTGTTTCTATTTTATATGTATGGGTGCTTAGCTTGGGTGTGTGTCTGTGTGAGGGTGTCTGTGTGAGCTCTTACAGACAGCTGTGAGCTGCCACGTGGGTGTTGGGAATTGAACCTGGGTCCCTCTGGAAGAGCAGTCAGTGTTCCCAACCACTGAGCCAGCTCTCCAGCCCAGCTACTTTTTGTTTTTTAAGATCACAAATAATTAACTTTCAAGCAAAAAAAAAAAAATTATTTTAATTATTTCTTTCCCTTCATCTCCATTTCCTCTCTCTTCCCTGTGCCCCGCCGCTGCCAATAGCCTCTTTCACTATGTGTATTTACTGACCTTTGACACCTCCCTCCTCTATTTTTCAATACCTCCTGTTCCCCTTTCTTGGTCTCCTATGTAATGTCATGACTAGGACATTTTCACACAAACATTAAAAGTTAGAATCCAGGGACACACCTTTAATCTCAGCACTTGGGAGGCAGAGGCTGGTAGATCTCCGTGAGTTCAAGGCCAGCCAGGTTAGCCACCTAGGCTACAAGGTGATACTCTGTCTCAAAAAACAAAACAAACAAACAAACAAATAAGCAAAAGCTCCTTCTTTGGGTGTGGTGGTGCTTGCCTTTAACCTCAGCATTCAAGAGGCAGACACAAAAGAATCCTTGTAATCAAGGCCAACCTAGTCTACATAGTGACATCCATGAGAGAGAAAGAGAGAGAGAAGAAAGTTAGGATCGCAGTAGTATGGAAAAAGTACAGTTTTTGACTTTCTGAAACGGGGTCACTTTACTTAATATATTAACAATATTTATTTGCTTTATTTGCTTCATGCTTCAGCAGGAAGACAAGGGGGACCTTTGGGACCAGGAAACCTTTCCTGCAGGACTCCGACTATTCCGAGCACTCAAGGTGGGGCTGTGTGGTCTGTTTTTCTCTGGACCCTTGGGAATAGCCTGGCATCTCCCTTTTCAGGAGGGCAACACTCACCGTTAGATACAGAGAGGTGGATGGGGTCACTGACGGGTGCTCCCCTTGTCTGACATCGATACACCCCTGGTGCCTGCACCTCAATGCTCTTCTTGTGGGAAGGCAGGAGGACGTGGCCCAAATACCAGAGAGTGTTGATGGGCCGGAGCTCCAGCAGCAGAGGGTGGTACCCGTCACACCGCAGGGTCACTCGTTCCCCCTTGAAGATGGTGGTCCAGGGTGGGTGCAGAGACAGTACAGGCTTCTCCAGAGTAGCTGGGGATGCGGGGGGGGGGGGGGGAAGGGCCGTGTGAGGGAGGAAAGTATAGTGAGGTGACTGCCCAAAAGGGAAGTCCCAGGGTTGGGAATTCTTGGAAAACACCAGTTTCTGGGACTCAGCCCACACTGGAACCCACCACGGCAATGGGAGATCACAGTCACGGGGCTCCAGTAGAGGAGTCTATTCATCAGAAGCTACTTCTGAGTGTCCATGCACAAGAAGACTTAGTCATCAAGACTGCGCAAGAGTTGGGGGGAAATGCCATCTCAGAACAGCCAGGAACTGGGGCATCTACCCTATTGGAACTTACCAAAACTTGGATGAGAGATGCCTAAGACTTACCAGCTTGCCCACAGCTTGGAACTGCAAGAAAGAAGAAAGAGGGTGAAGAGTGTTCTCTGTGACAGGAAAGACTCTCGATCCCAGGAAAGCCCGAATAAGTCTCAAAGCCTGGTTTCCTTTCTCCACACTACATTACCACATTACCTAACTTTGAGAACGCTACCTGCATTTCATCCTTCCAGGGCAGACAGTGAGACCTGAAGGGAGCACCGGCAGCTCTTTCATCCCATACCCAGCCCTGTCTTACTCTCCACCTCCCCAAATCCTGCTAACGCCGCCTCATTGCCAACTCACTCAGAAGCAGAAAGGCTGCAAGCGTCCACATGATGAGTCTGCCCGAAGCTGCTGTAGATGGCTGGGGGTACATTGGCATGGGGGAGGGGCAGAGAGAGCGAGAGAGAGAGAGAGAGAGAGAGAGAGAGAGAGAGAGAGAGAGGCAGCTAGTAGCTGACACGGAGAACTAGAAGACAGTGTTGCTTCTTCTGCCCAATCCTACCTTCTCAAGATGGTGTCGTCCAGAGAGCAGGACATCACCTGCGTGTGTCACTCACTCATCCCAAGCGCTGGGCACTGTCCCATCTACTGCCTCTGTAGCCACATCCCAGCTCAGCCCAGCCTCAACTTCGACAGCCTGTCGCGCTGTTGCCTTCTACAGAGCATGAGCCCACAGAGATCCTCAAGCTCTAACAGGTGCCACCAACATCCCACTCTCACTCCGTCCTTTCCCCACTGCTGACGTTCACAAAGCCTAGCTCGTTTCTGCTTAATCCCTGATGACAGGCCTTTCGGTGAAAGGCCTAGAGGGGTCAAGGTTGGGTTCCTTGGAGTGGAGCTCACATCCTCCCACAAATGAGTAGACAGAAAGGCATGATTCAAGCATCCTGCCATGCCCCTGCTGGCCTGTTGTTCCCGAGTCAAAAACAGCGTAATGTAGGTTCTCTTCCTCCCTTCTTTCAATCTGAAATGCTCAGTCTTCCTCCCTCACAGCCCACAATGACCTCACCTTATAGTATCTCCACTCACACGTTCCTTTCTTCTTTCCTTCCACCAGGCCCTAATCCCCCTCCCCAGCCATGTCCTAGTCCCCAGGGCTTGTGGCCTGGAGGAGAAGTCACTGCAAGCCCCAAGAGGCTTCTCAAATCCGACCTCTCTGCTCTGGCTCTCCTGCTCAGGTGACCACACCTGAGCAATGAGGAGCCCGAGTTTCATGTAAATATTTAATGAAGTTTCCAACCCGATAGTATATCTCCCTGGGCTCTGTCCTGTACACACTTACAGCTGTTTGGAACCAGGACACCTGCTTTCCTTGGAACTCTAGCAGGGAGGAGATCACTGAGCAGATACGGTCAGATCCCTCCAAGAGCGCATCCTTCAATTTTGCTGACGCACCAAGTTTTTCTCTTGGAATTCCCTCATGTCTTAGTGCTTTTCTCTGTTAAAATACAAACGCCTCTAAGGAAAAGATGGCCAGTCTTTTTAATTATGCTTTCTGTTTTAGATCTTGCTTTGGGAGGAGGATTTGGGAGGGAGAGAGAGAGTTACTTTGTAGGTCTGAAAAGTTGGAAAGTATCAGATAAGGTGAGCAAGGCTCAGGGAGGGAGAGAACTAGACACAGAGGGCAGAGATGAATGCCCTGGTTAGGCAATGCTCCTATGCTTCCCTTGAGCCCTGCCTGCCCCCTCCTATTTCCTCCTCATCTTGGAACCAGCGTGGGACTCCTCACATCAACCACCTCACAGCAATCCCCAGGGTCTGACTTCTGCACAGTCCACTGCCTCTACAGGAAGAGCGCCACACATCTGCCCCCTGTTCCCGCACAAGCAGATGACTTTGGCTTCTCATAAGCCATAACAAAGGTCTCATCCCCTTTACTGGATTCCAGAAGAAACCTGATCACACCAAAAATTCACGTGCTGTGTAGTCTTTCTTGAATTCATAGGAATCAGCCTCCGAGCTCATTAACCACACAGATAATGCTCAGAACTTGACTTGAAAAGCGTCCTGCCCAGCACTTGTTTATTCCACCTTTTTGTCCAAGTTTCTCGAAAGGGAGTCTTTTTCTCTATGCAAGACCTTTCCCATAAAGATTTTAATTCTTCGCGTCTTTACACATTGGCAAGTTCTTTAGTATACAGACAAGCTTGGAAATTATTGTTATTCAGAATTTTGCTTTTCATTTTCAAGGGCCTTGCTATCCTGCCCAGTCTCAAAGGCGAAGGGGGATAATGTGTTCCTCTTTTCCTCAGCCCTCTTTGTGCTAGAACAATAGGCACGCACCACGGGACACTGGGTTTGAGTAAGTCTTTTAATTCTTTGAAGTCTGTCGCAACCGAACTTCCTGGCCATCATCTGATAAGGACTGTGGTAAGGAGAGTGTTCTTGGGGTGATGTCGGACAGTGAGAATAGCTCCCTTATAGTAAATGCACCAATGTGTGGCCGGTATCACATCAATGCTTCACAGATAGGGAAAATGACATCATTCATTCCTCACAGGGGGTCTTGAGGGAGGAATTGTTACTAGTTCTGTATCATGAAACTTTTGGTTTCTTTAACAACTCAGTTACGTTATGTAAGTAGGTTTTTGTTTTAATCCCAAGTGTGGGGTTTTAGTTTGGGCTTTATGTCCCACAGCTGATAATTGCCTCCTGTAGGGCATGATGTTTGCCAGCTGATAAAGGCCTGCCTCATGGTAGCACGGATAGGGGCGTGGTCTAGGACTCTGAGGTACATCCATAGGAGAGCCCAGAAAGAGAAAATGTGGCAGTTTGGAGAGACCAGAGATGGAGGTGTGGCATTTTGGAGAGACACTGGGAAGACGCTTTGGGGTGCAGCCCCTTGGAGGAGAGAGCAAAGAATCTATCAGCCCTGAACGGCTGGGAGAAATGAAGAGGTCTGCTCCCTCTCAACCCACTAACCTTCTCTCTTTCTTACCTACGGTTAAAGGGTTTGTGAAAGGGAGCTACAGGCATAAATACGGCAAATAAAACAGCATTTTAAAACAAGCACTACAGTCTGTTTTACATGTGAGGAAACTGAAGTGACAGAAACCCCAGGGGAGCTTGAAGAGGGGCCTCACTCCAAAATCTGTTCTCAGGTCCATCTCTCATTAGGGAGCCAGATGCTGCTCAGGGAAGAAGGCTCTCACCTTCAGTCTCTGTAAGTCTCCTCTCTTACTTCCTTATTTTCCCACTGTTATCCACACCAGCATTCTTCTCCCCTACACATTCACGCGCTGTATGGTGTTTAATGTGCGTTCCTCTACATGTGCGTATATGTTTGTGTGTATGTATCCTACTTCTCTATGTGTATGTGTGTTTTGTCTGCACGTATCGGTGTGCACATGTGCCTACCTATTGCCTACAGAGGCCAGAGCAGGTGGTCCAGTTCCAGGTAACTCCTGGAACTGGAGTTACAGATGGTTGTGGGCCACCTTGTGGGTGCTGGGAACCGAACCTGGGTCCCCTGGAAGAGCAGCCAGTGCTCTTAACTGCTGAACCATCTCTCCATCTCCTACCGGTTCACATATTGGATCTTAGGTAATGTTTATCATTATTAATTTACATAAATGGTGCATTCTAGATGTTGTGTTTTGTTTAGTTCCGTGTAAAAATTCATCCGTGTTGCTGTGCACACATCATGTTTACTGCTTCATGCTTCTACCATGTGACACCTGTCTACTCCCCTAATGTCCTGGTTGCTTCCTAACTGTTCACTACTACAAATGATGCCACACTGAACTTCTTTGGGTCATACTGTGAGGGCTGAGTGAGTGAACTAGAAGTTAGAAGCCTTAAAAAAATTGACTCATAGATCTTATGTCTTCTACCTTAGATCCTTCCAGGAAATCTCCTCACAGACCCACCAGAAGCAGGACTCTTAGTTGATTCAAGGTCCAATCAAACTGACAATCAAGATCCTTGAGGATGCTAAAATTTATTTAACATCAGTGTGAACTTCTTCCTTTGTTTCTTTGTATTTGTCTAAAATGATCACGTGTATGTCTGTAGATTATTTCAGGCTACAGAATACAAAATAAATAGCACAAAGAGAGGCCACAGTGGGAACACGGCTCTACACAGTTCAGGGTAATGTGGTACAGTATTCTTCATTCACTAAAGCCATAATAACGCAGTGTGCTAATTCATCAACCGAAGAGTACACTGAGTTTATTGCATCATTTGTAAGCTGCAGGCACCAAGTGGAATTGGCCAAAGAGAGAACACATGTGTGCTGTAAGTATCAGGACCACAGAGGCAGGGCTGCCCAGGCCCATTGAGGTTCACATTATGTCTCTATATGCCCTCGATGCTGGAAATAGAGTGTGGTGGTTTAAATGAGATGTTCCCCACAGTGTGGGCATTTGAATAACTGGGCCCCAGTTGGTGGTTGTCGGGAGAGACTTAGGAAGTGTGACCTTATAGAGGAATTTTAATCCAGCAACATGGTTGCTCTGGCAGGAGTTAGCACCCAAAGACCTAGGTCTGTGTGATCTGGCTGGAATGACACACGATTAGTTCCTCTGGCTGGAATATAGACATGCCTTTAGTACACTCTTTTAATCCCAAACAACAGTGTCTAATTGAGGGGCAGACAAACCGATGGATCAGAAAGAGACTTGACAGAATGAGTCAGAGATAGGATATGCCCAACTCTCAGGAAGACAGACAGGAAAGAGAGGCTATTTAAGAGCACTGCAGGGAGAGTTGAGTTGAGTTGTGTTTGGTGCAGTTCAGTTGAGTGTGGCTGAGCTCAGCTGAGTTTGTGCTGTTCCTTTCAGTTCTGTTCAGTTTGTGCAGTCGGGGCGGGAGAGTTCGTGGACTTAAGATGCAGCTTTTCCAAGCAGAGACACTTAGTCAGAAGCCAAGAGAAGCCAACTTGAATCAGTCAGCTTGGAGAGGAGTTTGAGCCAAAAGAGCTGAGTTGAACCAGCCAGCCAGAGTTCAGAAAGAGCTTAAAGTGAGTTCATTCAGCAGTAAGTCTCAGAGGCTGAAACACTCTGGGCCCAGTTTAGCAGATGGAGGCTGGAAGCTGCAGTCTTCAAGGTCCAGATTTGCAGAAGATTAGATTGTATGGAGGCTACAAGCTTTTGGACCTAGGAATTGTTATATAGAAATGGCTGGGCTCACCACTACGGTTGGTGCTTGCTGTCATGTTTTCCTGTCATGGTAGTGGTAAACTCTTATTCCTCTAGAACTATAAGCCTTGGATAAACTGTTCCTTCTTGTCTTAGTTAGGGTTTTATTGCTATGAAGAGACACCATGACCATGGCAATTTTTATAAAGGAAAACATTTAGTTGGAGCTGGCTTACAGTTTCAGAGGTTTCATCCATTATCATCATGCTGGGAAGCATGGCAACATCCAGCAGACCTGGTCCTGGAGAAGGAGCTGAGAGTTCTACGTACTTGATTTTCAAGCAACAGAAGGGGACTGTGCGCCACACTGGAGCTTATAGGAGACCTCAAAGCCTGCTTCCACAGTGTCACACTTCCTCCCACAAGGCCACACCTTCTAATAATGTCACTCCCTATAGGCCAAGCATTCATACACATACGTTTATGGGGGCCATTTCTATTCGAGCCACCAAACTTCTAGAAGTTGCCTTGGTCATGGCAGATTATCACAGCAACAGAAAAGAGACTTGAGATTCTTAAACAGTGCTGGGTTTATTAGAACTACAGATGTTTTTAAAGTTGGGGTAAATGCACTTTACCTTGTGAGAGGGCCCTAAGCCTTTGGGGCCAGGAATGGAACGTTAGGATTTGATTTCACAGCTCAGTTTTAAATGTTTGGTGCCTAGATTCAACACAATTTTTAAAGGCTGTAGAGCTTTTAGGAGAAGGAGCCTTGATGGCAGAATTAAACCACTGAGGGTAGGCCTTTGAAGGCTGTACCTGCCCCTGGTTCTGGCCTATCAGGATGTGAGCACACACTCTTACCACCAGGATCTGAGTCATGATGCTGTGCTCCCTTGTCATGAAGGACTGAGACCCTCTGAAACTGTGAGCCAAATTAAACTGTCCTCCTAAAGTTGTTTCTGTCTCTCTTTTAGTTCAGAATGTGCAAAAGCAACTGAATCACTACCTTTGGGGCTTTCTTTTATAAGGCAATGATCCTAATCATAAGAACTCTGTTCTCACCGCCTAATTACTTCCCTTCTATTGTTTTAAAGAATGAAAATCCCAACAGTTCTATTTTACCAATAAAGACTCAGATATGGGGTGAAAACCTGCTAACTCAGAGAGGCAGAGAAAGCACCCAGCTGACCTTCTCAGCTCAGGTTCAGATGGAAAAAACCCAAAAGGCTCACTAGCTCAGCTGACAGCCCAGGAGGAAAAGGCCAAAAAAACCCAAGTCCAAAGGCTTTCTGTCCCAAAAAGCCAGACTAAAGCCCCAAAGAGCCAAAGCTCAAAAAGTTCCTTTTTCTTCTTCATACTATCTTAAATACCTTTCTACTCAAAGTCCCTCCTACTCTTTAATCTCTGTCAGCTGGTTTCTTGCTCTGCCTCTTGACCTAGGGTTAACTTTATTAAATCCTGTGGACAGAAAGCTCTTGTATGAAAGGTGTGTGCTAGGGCTGGATGAACCACACCGCAATCCCCTGTTTACAATAAGCAGAAAGTTCTTGGATTAAAGGTGTGTGATAGGGTTCAACCACACCAAGCAAGAAACAGGGTCTTATAGTTCACATTTTTGGGGTTCACAGTGGGATTAAATATCCTGCAACACCACTCATGCCATTACTTTAGGGATTAATATTTCAGCCTGGGTGGTGATGGTGCTGAGAGATAGCTCAGGGACTCTGGTGCTTGCTGTTCTTCCAGAACACATACCGAGGGGCTCAGAACTGCCTCGCCCTTAGAGCTCCAGGGGATCCAACCTTCTTCCGCCGCCACACCTGCACACATATACATAAAAACATTAAAATTTCAGAATAGGTATTTGGAGGAGGTGGCATATAGAATTTAAGCCACCAGACTAATTAAACACTTGCATGTAATTAATAGTTGTTGAAGGAAAGTAATTAAAAGAAATGAAGTCTCAGCTTAACACCTGACTTTTCCTAGCCCCATATTTCATAAGTTTAGCACTAATAAAAATTGGGGACAGGAAATTTTTTTATTGGGGAAAAGTGCTGTCCTTTGCATTATAGGATGACTAGCAGCTTCCTTGGCTTGTGAATGCCTTAACTTATTAAATTCTGGCAGCCTATACATCCTTCCCACCCTGTGTCAAACCCAAAATGTCTAGGGGACATTGCTAAATGTTTCCTGTGGGAATATAGGGAAGAGAAATTGACCCCAGTTGATATTGCGGTATTAAATCCACCTCCATTGCTTCTCTTTCAATTCAGTTGTGGTCAATAGAAATAAATTTCTGGTCTAGAATGAAGAATGACCTTGTCATGGTAAAAGAAGACATACAGTTATAGGCAAACTTTGGGTATCACCTGCATCCGTTTATTTATACTCAGTCAGTTCTGCTAGTCTAAAGAAGTATTAAGACATCTTGCAATACTATTCCTGCGTATGTGCAGTACCGAAAGAGCTGGGATTATTGCGATGGTGGAGCATATCACAGATGAATAGCTTGTTTTCATTTGTCAGCAACCTTTGTGATACCAGGCTTCAGGTAGACAGACAAGTCCCTCAGCTCCATGACCAGATGACCAAGGAGAACTCTTATGTCTTGCATTTGTTTGAGAAGAAGTTGTATTTGGTGCTGTAGGTGAGGGTCTGAGAAGGAGAATTCCGGGTGCTCAGCAGAAGAGGCAAGTGGTGAAGGCAGAGGACCAGGAGGCTCCGGAGGAGGAGTTTCTGAAGCAGTTGGTTTCTGAAGAGCTGGATTCAAGATGGAGGAAGCAGCAGAATTTAAGGGACCTGAATGATGGACAGGAAGCACATGCAAATCAAATCTGGATGGTCATGGTGATCCAGACTTATATTCTCAGTGGTCAGGAGGCTGAAGCAGAAGGAGCATTGCAAATTCAAAGCCAGCCTGGTCAACCAAGTGAGCTGTAGGTCAGCCAAGGCTACAAAGTAAAATCTTGTCTTAAATGTGTGTGTGTGTGTTTGATGCCGGAATCTGGCCCTGCCCTTACACTGTAAGGCAGGCACCTTCAGGTCAAACTCCTATATGAATGTGTCTTCAAAGTGTTCTTTCTTTTATTTCAGCTAAAACTTTAGAATGCAAATTCAGTGTGACCAGAGGTATTCCTGTCCATCATTTTAATGTTTCAAGTATGTGCTCTATTTTTAGCTCTGCACGCCCCCAAGTGTGTCTACCATTTTTTAACTCACGAGTTTAAAATGACCATGCTCAGAATGCACTGCTTAACTGAGCATGTTTAAGAATGGACCAACCCTTACTTGGGCAAATATGCATAAATTGAATAAACCTCCCACGCTTTTGTTTGTTTGTTTGAGGAAGGAGGGTCTTGCTTTGGAAATAACTCCTGTACTCTTTCTTCTTGCCTAACACCTAGAGCAAATCTTTCTCCACTCTCGTGTGCCTCGGTGTGGTGGTTTGAGTAAAATGGCTCCCATGTGCCCCCAGGGATTGGCACTAGTGGGAGGTGTAGCCTTGTTGGAGTAGGTGTGGCCTTGCTGGAGGAAGTGTGTCACTGTAGGGATGGGCTTTGAGGTCTCAGGAGCTCAAGCCTCTTCCTGCTGCCTGCTGATTCAGATGTTGAACTCTCAGCTCCTTCTCCAGCATCAAGTCTGCCATGTACACGACCACGCTTCCCGCCATGACCATCACGGACTAAACCCCAAGCTGTCAGCCAGCTCCAATTAAATATTTTCCTTTATAAGAGTTGCCGTGGTCATGATGTCACCTCACAGCAATAGAAAACCCTAAGAAAATTGGCCACACTTAGTTTGGCATTGAACTCAACAAGATGTGAGTTTGGGAACGGAGTTAATCTCTTTTCTTTTCTGAAAGTGGCTGTGATACTCACTGGCAGCCAGGGCTTGGGGACTCTTATTTGCATTCTAATGCAAATTTTAGTCTAAAGCTTGACTATCTCTGCTTGAGAAAATTTAGTGAGGAATCCTCATCATTAGACAGCCCAATTGTTCTTGTTCAAGGCAGAATTTAATTTCTCTGGGGTCAGCCTTTTCTTGCACGTGACATTAGTCTAGTTGCTCATCTTTGTTTCAGCCTTCCTCTGCATAGATCACTCTAGGCACTGTTTCTTCAGTATGATTTTCACTATTCTCCCCCATTATTTTCATGTGACATGTCTTCAAGGATTCTTTTCAGCAGAGGCAACTCCTTCTAGGGGTGTGTCAAGTCAAATACAGCTTTCCTGATGGTAACTTCTAGAATCTGACATACATTCTACTTTTTTCGAGAGGTTGTTTGTTTGCTTGCTGGAGATGAGGTGTCACTGTGCAGTTCTGGCTAGCCCTTTCTAGACATTATCCAAATTCTAGGTATGATGTTTCCCTAAATGTTCAGACTACATAGGAATTCTGTATTTTATCAGGACATACATGAGAGGCCAGCTCAGGTCTTGGTTTGGTATGTTCCATGGTCTAAGGGTGACATTCTCTTTTTGTGCTCTTTTCCACCATCAAGGATTTTGGATTATTGCCCTGACTCTCCTGCATCTCCTCTTCATTACCTTTCCCTGGAGTTTGAATGACAAACCCAGTCTTGTTTCCTACACACCCCACAGGCAAACTCACCCTGTACCCGGATTTCCAGCTGTGCGCTCTGCTTCCAAATTTGCCTGTCCTCGGTGGCTGCTTCGCACCAGTAGGAGCCAGAGTGCTCTCCTGAAGCTTTGGGGATCTGGAGTTCTGAAGAGATTCCTCTGATACTCAATGACTTTCCATCCTTGTAGAAGGAGAAGAGGAGGCGGAGAGCTGACTTCTGCAGGGACAGCTTCGTATGACAGCTCAGGGTCACTGTGTCTCCCTCTTGGGGCTCACTAGAAGGTAAGGCTTTGAGAACGGGGGCTGGGAACAACTCTAGGGGAAAGACAAGCAGGGAAGAAGAGTCAACCATCTAAAGCAGACGAATAGCCTCCTCCACCCATCTTTTCCTCTGGTTCCCTTAGGTATGGATTCTTTCAAAGAAAGTCCCAATTGAACTATTCAAGTTCTCTCTCCTCCTCTTCTTCCCTTCCTATTTATTTCCTTCCTTCCTCCTTCTTCCCTCCTACCTCCCTTCTCCCTTTCTTGCTTCTCTTCCTACATCCTTCCCTTCTAGGCAGGGACTAGAGAAGATCCATAGATGAGTGAATCTGACAAGAATCCAGGCTCTGGATCTGTGAACCTCAGCAAGTGTAGATCTACATGGTTCTGGTCTCCCTGTTCCTTCTAACCCAAATCTACACAGCAACACCCCCTCAGACTCTCACCTTGGACTGTGATGGCCACGGGGGATGCGGTCTCTCGGCTGCCAGGACCAGGGCTTCTGAAGATGCCACTGCAGTGGTAGCGCCCACTGTCCGACTTTTGCACCACGGCGATAGAGAATTCTCTTTTAGGTCCAGGAGGACCCAGGGCTGAGCCCTCTCGGTAGAAGATGACCTGAGTCAGTGGCCAGTCTTGCCAGGCACGACAGTGAAGAACCAGTGGGTCCCCTTCAAATATTGCAGATGGACCTTGGAGGACCAGCCAATCTGTGGGCCAGAGGAATTGCTGAGTATCAGCCACCTCACTTAGAAGGTCCCAAGCAATGCCCACAACAGATCCCTAAACTTCCCAGGTCACTTTAAACTCTTCCTGGCCCATATTTATGCTCTCTGTCCCTTTGAACTCACATAACAATGGCAAAGCCTTTTTTTTATTTTCTGCCTCCCTCCCCTCCACTCCTGCCTTCTATTCCAAAAGTATACTGGTAGCTGGGGGACAATTTTTGCTTAGAGAGTGAACTTAGAGTTAAGGATTGCTCACATGTCCTCACCCTGTTCTGTGCCTTCATGATTGGCCCAGTGTTGAGAGAATAACTCTAGGGCCTGGGGCTGAGGACGTTCTGGGTCCTGGAAGCTGAGGATGAGGAACTAATGCCTGTACCAGTTTCCTGAGTAGGCCAAGGGCTAGCAGGAGTGATTGGAGACATTGGTCAGAGCTTCCCGGGGCCTCACCATAGGAAACGATGAGATGGAAGGGTTTACTGAATGCGTAGCCCTTGAACTGGAAGCCAGCTTCTCCGGAATGGGTCATATCACTATCATCATCATCATTGTCATCATCATGAGTGTGGCAACTGCTCTGTTCAGTGCTGACTGGTCCTTCACACTTCAGAGTCTCCGAACTGACAGCTGAAGAGGGACGGCCCAGGGAGAACCAGAAAATGATACTGCAACTTAGAGAGAAAGAGGATAGAAATGGCCCTCCAGACAGGCTCCTCTTCTGCCTTAGGGAATCCTCTTGTCAGGAGAGAACAGGAAGACATCAAATCTCTCTAAGAGATGTAAATGGGTCTTCGGTGGGATGGCCTTGAGCTTGGCTTACTGGTGTGTAGGCCTCTCAGTGAAAGGACTGTGGGTTATGGAAGAGGGAGGGGAAGGAAGGAAGGAACAGTAATAAACTCACCAGCATGACATCCAGCTGTTGGTTCAGTAAACCAAAGGACAGTGACCGCCATGACAGCGCAGCAGGCAGGTAGGTAGTGGAGAGGAGGGAAAGATGAACGTCAGACTCTAGTACCCACTGTGTGTCATACACTGCTGGCACATCCACGCACTAGTTAATCTTCACAAGTCTTTCATAGTCGTGACTTCACCATCATTCACCATCATTTTTGTTGTTGTTGATGTTCTATGAGCAAGGACACATTCTGCCATCCAGGTCAGCCTGGAACTCACTCCCTAGGCCAGGCTGACCTTGAACTTGCAATAATTCTCCTCAGCCATAGGTCTAAGTCACAATGCCCGGTTTTCGATCCTATACATTTTAAAGAAAAAGTTCTACAAAATCGAATTATAAAGTGCTTAAAGAAAGACTTGGGGGTTTGCTGGGAGAGAGCGTGCAGCTGGAAAACTGCTTAGCATGCACATAGGAGGAGCAAACATAGCCTTGTAATCCCAAGAGGTTGGGAGGCAAAGACAGGCAAGATCCCCAGGGGGATCCCTGCTGGACAGCTAGCCTAGACTACTCAGTGAGGCCCAGGCCAATGAAAAAGACCTTGTCTCAGTAAAATAAAATAAAAAGGTAGATAAGACTTAAGGAATGTGACCCTTGGGGTTGTTCTCTGACTACACTAACACAGGCACACAGGTACATCTGCACCTACACATACACACAAGTACATTTAAGAAGGAAAGCAGGCGGGTGGGCAAGCCTGGCGGTAGAACATTTGCTTAGCCTGCAAGAGGCCCTGGAACTGATTCCTAGCAACGGCACCAACATGAGAGTCAATAATGGAGCAAGAATGTCAGGTGTAAGTTCAAAAGCAGGGTTTGTTTTACTTTGTTCCGCAAACATAGTCTACGCCAGTCCCCTGACCTTCCTTGACAACATCCCACCACTGCTCTCACTTTCCCAAAACTTACTTGGCTCTTTAGCATAAACTGTGTTGTCTACCGAAAGAGTAGCTGTTGCCCCTCCTCCCTTCTTGCTTCCCTTTCTAGTCTTCCTTTTTCCTCTCTCTCTCTTTTTTTTTTCCTTTTCTTAGTTTTTAGAGACAGGGTTTCAGTGTGTAGTCCTGGCTATAGATCAGGCTGGCCTCGAACACTCAGATCTGCCTTCCTCTGGAGTGCTGGGATTAAAGGCGTGTGCCACCATTGCCTAGCCAAGTCTTCGTTTTTCAACTGTCTCCTACTTTGATGCCCCCTGCCCTGGAACTTTCCCTAGCAATGGCAAAGCTCTTTCTTCCTCTTCTCCCAGTGACCCTTTATGGTCAGTCTGCACTGGTTGGTAGCCGTGGAACAATTCTTTGCCTCCAAGTTGAAACTTAGCAAGCTCTCCCCATATATCCACATTCTGTCTCCTAGGTCCATGACTGACCCAAGTAGGTAAATGTCATTTCTCCCAGCTCTAACTGCTCCTTGCCCCCCCCCAGCCCCTCTCCTCTCTTCCAGATTCATATTCATATGTGCTCTTCTGCCCACTACATTCTTTCCTGTCCCAGGCACCTTTGTTCTTATCCATGGCCAATGGCCCAGGACTCTTTTTTTTTTTGGTTGTCAACTTCTCTATCAAGCCTACTTCCTAGTTCTCGTTGTTTCAGTACCCAGTCTTTTCTTTTGCTCCTCTCAGCCCTTTTCTCTCTTATGCTACCTCTTTTCAGTTCCTTCACTGTCATACGACCATACTCAGCCTGCTGTTGTTTTTGGAGAGTTGGCTCAGTTGTTAAAAACACTTGCAAAGGACTCAAGTTTAATTCCTGGCATCCACATGGTAGCTCATAACCATCCATAACTCCAGGTGCAGGGAACCTGATACCCTCTTCTGACCTCTGCAGGCACCAGGCATACACAGGTATGCAAGCAAAAACAGTCCTACATAAAGTTAACTAATTAATTAAAGAAATTTTAAAGCCTTCGTGGCCTACTCAATAAACCTTAAGTAGTTCTATGTGAGGCATTATCATTCTCTTTTTCACAACAGAGAAAAGTGAATTTGGATATATTAAACGTGATTTTTTAAAAAACAGGATTTCATAACCTATCCCTGGATGGTCTGGTACTTGAAATGTAACTTGGGATGACTTTGAACTTGAGGCAATCTTCATGTCTCAAGCTCCCTAGTCCTGAGATTACAGGAACATGCTTCTATGTTCAACTGAAAGCGACCTTTTCAAAGTGATACAGAACCAGTAACTAGGAGAGGAGCTTAAAGTCAGATGATCCCAAGACCACAGTTCTTGCTACAAAACCAAAAACCCTGATCCCCTCACAAATAGCTCTCAGTTTAGTGGAAGACCAAGCGTGTGAAAAGACAATTGCAATGTGTGGATGGAAGCAGTGAGAATGAGGTGTAACAGGAAGCCACTGGCTTCTTGAGGACGGTGCTAGCAAGATGGAGTCTCTAAGGATACCCAAATGTTTGTAAAAGGGAAGCGGACCGGGAAGCCATGGTAGAGTTCTTTTCAGGTGAAGCTAAAAATAGAAGCAAAACCTTGGAGGCTGTGATGGGAAATGTGGGCCAACTGAGAGTTTGTGGGAGCAGGAGTGGGAAGGCTTTAAGGGCGGTGAAGGAGAGGCTGAGAGATTTAGTAGGTACCAGGTTTGGAGTTCCATGTGCCATGACTTGAGTTTGAGGTTTAGAAGTCCCTCTGGATACAGAGAGAATGCGTTTCTATGAGACAAGGTCAGTAAGGAAGTCATTGCACCGCTCAGTCACATGTGATAAAGGCTTGTCCTAAGAAAGCATTTGTAGTGGTTCGGGGAAGGAACTGGTTGTGAAAGCAATTTAGGAGGTAAAAATTGCCAAAGTTCATGATTCAGAGAAGGATGGAGGAAGAGTTCAGAATGCCTCTCAGGCTTCCTGCCGAGGTCCAAGCGAGTGCCACTGCAGTGAACCGAAATCAGATAGAGTTAAAATGGGAATTAAAAGAAGTGAGGATCTGAAGGACAGATACCTCTGGTCATGTCATAGTGGTACCAGTGGCACACATACACAAGACACACAAATGTCTTGTGTAAAGCTTAATATTCGAATGTGAAAGTCAAAAGCATGATTAGAGTTGGAAGTATGCCCTGGAGCTCTAAAATATACAACTGTTGCAGAAAAATCGTACAGAGGCATCCATACAGTCTCATTAGGAGACTGTGAAAAGAAAGAAGAGTAAAAGGGTGAAGATTTAACTATAGAGGATGCTAGAATTTACAGGAGGCAAAGAAAAGCTACAAAAGGACCAAAAGACATCCAAGCCGTACACAGAGAAAATGGACAGAGTCAGGGAAATAGAGGCTGCAGGAGAGAATAAGCAGCCAATAGGCCTGGATGCAACAAAGAAAGCCACCAGGACAAGCACCAGAAAGGGTACGATGACCTGGTCGGTACAGAGGTCACCACACCCCACGTAAACCACTATACCCCATGCTGCAAGCACTGAGGGGTGAGTGAGACGGAAGTTAGAGACAGCAAGCCCACGCCACTCTTCCAAGAAAGTTGTATGAGAAAAATAAGAGATAAGATTTGCAGTTGGCAAAGGCAACTTCATAGTCAGAAGGGACTTTTAGGATGGAAAATATCTGAATTTTTATATTTAGAAAGAGCCATTCAGTCCTGGACACCAGACTTCTCTTCCTTCTGTCCTTGTCCCACTTGAACAGTGGTTCTTTGCAAAGTCAAGGTCTCCCCCCATTTTTTACATTTGAGATCCCCCCCCCTCAATTTTAAGCGTATCTCATTTCCACAGCAACATTCAAACCTTTTACTTACCCGGTGCCATGTGGGTTGCCAGGAGCACAGCAGGACAAACACGAAGAGCCCATGCCATGAGCACACAGCTCAGCTTCATGGTGACTGTGTTTATACCTCCTGCAACCCCAACATACTGATTTTCTTCAACATGAAACCTCTCAAATTAGAAAAGAGGAAATAAATCTAACTGTCTTGTCTCCACACACCTGTGGCCAAGTCTGTGACTGGCTCTTGTCATTCAAGTTTGGCCAGGTTGATTCTGGTGCCATCTTCATCCTTCAGGTTGTAGATGAAATGCTGGGCTCCCAATTGTTAATTTTTTTTTTCTTGTCGAGCTCAGGAGCTTTTGAAAACATGTTATTGACTGATGATCAAGTGGCATTCATACTACGTATGGGAAAGGTCAACAGGACTACAGATCGGCTCACTGGAGACTCAGGCAGGAAGTTAATGGGGAAAAAGCAAGGGGTTGTGAGTGATGTAATGTGGAAGCGTCCTGCTACGCCTGCTCCAAGCTCTGCACGTGCCCAGTAATGAAAATACAGCAGGGGTTGGGGGACAGATTGATAAGAGCCCGCTCAAACTTGTACCCAAATTTCTCCTGACCTGTGTCTGGATCTGTTTCTGCTGCACAACACAGGCTGTTCAGTCTCAGTGAAAATCTGAGCACAAGGCAAAGTTCTGAGGAACCTGGAGACATGAAGTATCCAGTATCTTGAACAACCCGAAGAGACGGGGGAGCACGGGCAATGTGGAGGCCACATCATCTCTCTTCATCTCTTCATGAACCTATGGGAACCACTGCCCCTAACTCCAGCTGTTTGCTCAGTCGCAGGCCCTGGGCCTCATTACACAGAGATCACACTCTTCTGCCCCAATTTGTCACACCACCCACACCCAGGTCCCAGGTAGACATGAAAGTAGGGTGTGTCACCAGACAGGCGGGTCTTAAAGGCAGAGAGAGGGTGGGACCGCCTGGCCACTCAGTTATGATAAAACAGATCAGGGCTGGCAGGTCGGCAAGGCGGACGTGGAAGAGTGCGTTTTTCTCCACGTAGTTAGAAGCGGTTAGAAAAAGTTTTTCCATTGTGTAAGAAGCACATGTTTTTTCGAAGGTGGCCCCAGAGAGTCCAGAGCTGGCTGAAGGGTGTGGGGGAGGCAGTGAGGCATCTTGCAGCTGATGTGGTAGAAAGACCCAACAGCTTCAGAAGAGGAAGCACAATGCAACCAGCCCTAAGAAATGTTAATTAAATGAACTGTGTTTAGATAGACTTTCTTCCCTAAAACTGCACAGCAGGCCTTCTTCATGAGGCAGGACAAACGCTTTTGAAAAACTGTAACCATTTTTCCCTTCCCTTACAACCCCTGGATAAACGCTCCCCTTGCCATCTGCACCAGCCTTTACAGAACCCAATCTTGGTGCACGAAGCAAGAAGGCCTCTGAAGGTGTTGCTTGAAGACCGTGTTCTTTACGCCTGGTTATCCGCTTATCTGAGGGAAAGTCACACATCTGAAGCTTGACCAATGGACTATTATGAATCACTGTGGAGTGCCCACATCAAAGATATCCACATCAGAGGAGCAAGATTAGGATGACCACGTGCCGGGAACACAAATTCAGTTCGTTGTGTTAGTTTTGCTATCAGGATCACCTCAGACTACTCCCAAAGACATGGGAAAATTCCAGCCCTCATCTATCCCACAGCCGGTTAGTCCTTTGAGGCCTTCCTCAGTTGTGCTTGTGGGTTGTCACCAGCGGGCTAACATTTCGATTTTAACAAGATTCTTTTTATTTTTATTTATGTGTATGTGTATGTGTTCACCTGCTTGTCAGTGTGAGCACTAAACGCATCCAGGTGCCCTTAAAGGCCAGAAGAGAACACTGGGATCTTGCGGAACTGGAGTTACAAGCGGTTGTGAGCAGGCTATGTGGGTGCTGGGAATTGCACCCCTGTCCTCTGCAAGAGAACAGTTAAGTGCTCCTAACTGCTCAGCCATTCCTCCAGCCCATTTGTTTGTGTGCATGTGTGCACGCGTGAGTGTTTGGACACGCATGTTTGTGTATGCAAGGGCTGGGGCACATGTGGACAACTTATGGCAGTTGCTTCTCTCCTTCTACCACATCCTGCGGATCGAACTCAGCTTGCCAGGCTCGGCAGCAAGCTCCCTTACCCACTGAGCCATTCCATCAGGCGGGAACCGAGAGCTGTTTTAAAGATGAATTGTTTGTCAGTTGTCTGTGCTGTGAATGCTTTGCGTCTTGCCTCCCTACTTTACGAATTCTTTTCTGTTTGGGGGGCTTATGGAGGGGTCTATGTGCTCATGTGTTAGGTGATGGTGCATGACAGATGTTAGCCTAGACTGTCATTCCTTGGGAGCCATCTACCTTAATTTTGGAGGTAGGGTCTCTCTCTGGGACCTGGGTCTTACCAATTAAGCTGGCCTGGCTGGCCAGTGACTTCCTGTCTCTGCCTCCTAGCATTGTAAGTGTGTGCCACCATGCCCGTTTTTTGTTTTGTTTTTATGTGGGTGCTAGGGGTCAAACTCAGGTCCTTATGCTTGTGGGACAAGCACTCACAGGCTGAGCTCTCTCCATAGCCCCACTTTGTGTATTTTAAGACCACTTTATTGAGACGTAAAGACATGTACACAATACACGTTTAAATAGTAGACTTGGATGAATTCCGATGAAGTGTGCAACGTGAAACTGTTGTCACAGTAAGACAAGCAGGAAGGTGGCTCCTGAAATGTGTCTGTGTCCCTCTGTGAACTCTTCCCACCTACCTTCTCCAAGCACCCACTGGTTTATTTAGTCACTATGTCTCATAGCACGTTTTCTGTAACTGTGTACAAATTACGTAGCACATCCCTTTTGTCTGGCTTCCTTCACTCAGACAGATGCTTGGTGCATCTGTCAACAGCTCCTTTCACTTGGTGGATGCCTATACCCCACTCTGCTTGTCCACTGACACACTGGTTGGCCATTGCATTGTTTCTATCTGTGGCTACGACAAACAAAGCTATTACGTGCTCTCAGGTACAGTTATTCCATGGACTCAAGCTTTCATTTATGTCGGGGATCTGGCTGGATCCATGCAGGTATGATTTTATTTATGTATATGCTTTACCTTTTTATTATTATTATTATTATTATTATTATTATTATTTTACTTTATTCATTTACTTTTACTTTTTTGAGACAGGATCTCTCTATGTAGTGCTGGCTGTCATGGAATTCACTGTGTGTAGAACAGGCTGGCCTCAAAAATCGCAGAAACTGGTTTGCTTCTGCCTTTCAAGTGATGCTTTTTTAAATACTTTATGTGTATGGGTATTTGCCCTGCATGTCTGAATGTGCATAGTCCAAAAAGGGGCAACGGGTCTCCTGAAACTTGAACTACAGATAGTTGTGAGCCACCATGGGAGTGCTGGGAACTGAACCCATGTCCTCTGCAAGAGCAACTCAGTGCTCTTAACTGCTGAGCCATTCCTCTAGCCCCTCCCCTTTTTCTTTTAGTAGTTTGACACAGGGTCTTATACTGTAGCTCACACTGGCCTAAGACTCAGAGCTAGCCCAGGCTAATTTTGAATTCACATCAGTCCTCCTGCCACAGCCCCTTGAGTGTTGTAAAGGCACAAGCCACCACATCTGGCTTTGCTTTTAAACTTAAGAAAATGCCAAACAATTTTCCAGATTGCCTGAGTCAGAGCTCTCCACGGAAAGAAAACCAATATTAACATGTGAGCAGCTTTGTCCCATGTAGTTATGAAGTGCCAGCAAGTGCCACCTGCTTTCTGCAAGCAGGAGAACCAGGAAAGCTTGCTGTGTACTTCAGGTACAAAAGCCTGGCTGCCGGGGCAGTCTGCGGTTTCCATAGCTGAATCTGAAGAAGTAAGAAGCACCGAGTTGAGATCTGAGGACAGGAGGAGATGGATGTCCCAGCTTAAAAAAAGAGAAATAAGGTGCCCCCCTCCTCTGCCTCCTGTTTTCTTCAGATCCTGAATGAGATGGGTGTAGGCTCCCCACAGTGCATGAGGGAAGATCCTCTTTCTTCGAACTACTGACTCAAACGTTAATTTCTTTTATGAATTTCCTCACAGATGAAACCAGAAAAAAAAAATGTCTTACTGGCTCTCTGGGCATCCCTTAGCCCACTCCTGTTGACCCATGCTAACCATCACAGTGGCTGGTGATTGTACAATCCCACCAACATCCCAAGAAACCTCCAGTTACTTAGGAGTATTTGCTAAGACCCTGCATCACTCCATATGGTGTAAAGCAGGGCTTTCATGGGTGACTCAATACCTCGAGGGGCATGTAAACAACACCATCATTCCAGCACCACCCGTGAAGCACAATTTGATAAGCCGTAAAAGTAGGAAGGGTGCCACCCTATACATTTATCAAAATAAAATGGAACTGAAGGAACATGGCTATATGGAAATCATACCAAGAAAGCCAGGCCTGAGAACTTCGTAGGTACTGCAAACTGAGGAAAGCGTGCTACAACCTCTTCATCAAAGGCCCGTAAAGGGGAAGACACCAGCACCAGCACTGCAATGGCAATGCAGTGGCCAAGACACCAATGGCAATGGCCCCACCAACCTGTCATCTCACCATCTCGTGTGTATGCCAAAAGACTGACAGCCAGAGAACTCCTCACTGTCCCTGGAGCTTCAGCTCAGCACGATTCTGCTATTGGCACAGCCTACCCAGATTGTCTGACATCCATCTCTCTGGCCTCTCACCCATTTTGGTTTGCTATCTATCTATCTATCTATCTATCTATCTATCTATCTATCTATCTATCTAT